TGTCGGTAGCGTTGAGTATTGGCAGTTTTCCCAGGTTGCAGCGGCTCGTGGAAAGTAGAGAACAGAAAAGTAGTGCTGTCCGCAATCATGATTTGTTGGCACAAAACTCGACATGTTTATCTCTAATAAACTAATGCTACTGAATGAAACTCGTTCTATTGAGTTGGAAATCTTTGTCGGATATAAATACAATAACAAGATACCGCTCACGTGATGTGACGGTAACTGCATCGACATCTAGCGCAACCTATAGGCAAATTCCAGTTTCATACTAACACACTTGGTATGTAAAATATTAGAATAAAGATTGAATCTAAATAATGTTTGTATGTATGTATATCTGAAGGGAAAGTTTTGGTCAAAGCTGATTTACTTCGCCACCAATGCTGTCGCAAATCTGTGTTCGGCTTGTGCGGCATTGCTGCGTTTTTTTACGCCAATTGCTTTCTTATGGTATCATTGCTGTTGCTCAGCTGTGTTCTGTTTGTCCAAGAAGAATGATGAAAATGCACAAGGACACAAAGAGCGAATGACGTACACCTATACAAATGCAAACATCACGTTTGCCATTTCGGCCTTAAGAAAGTGATGGGAAAATTGTTCTACGAGCTGACGGGATATGACCTCATGCATTCCTGATACTCTTTGGGGAATATTTTAGCGGTTATAACAGCAACAACAACAACAATATTTACATGTACAAAACAATTCCACAAAATTATCGAAATTTAGCCTGAGGAATTTTCATTTAAAACTGGTGGCCCTCAAGGTAGCGTTCTTGCCCTAGAAAAGCATCGTAAACTGTTTACAGTTACAAACAAACGATTTAACATATCTCGGCGTACACTTAAATACAAAACTCACCTGCAAAAACACGTAGATGCCAAAATATTTCATATGAAACATGAAAAAATGTTATTATACAAAATGTTTCGGAAAAATTAAGGGAAAACCCCAACCCTTCCGCCACTGGTGTCTAACACTTTTACAGAAAACTGGGCTATCGAACTTTCGAAATTTTTATAAACTGTTGAAATAGTAGTCACAGTAAATCAATAATATGTGTAATAGGACGCTGAGTATATGGCGAATATTACGTGTCGTGAACACCCTAATAGCCTGTACATTCATACTCAATAAATACTTCACCTTCCCCGTTAACATTGACATCACTTATACTATATGTATACACAACACATTATATATATATTTGTATATGCATTATATATACATATATTTTAGGCCAATTACGAATTCGGTGTCTAGCTAGCCAAACAAGAAACGTCTTTAAAATTAGTGAACAGAACACCTTTCGCAAAAATTTACGCCGAGGTGTGGGAAACGCTCGGCTGAAAAATAAACGATGGAGAGACAGACAAAAAATATGTCAACACGAAATTGCACGAAATATTCAACCTAAAATTAAATTTCATTTGAACACATATACAATATGTATGTATGTATGCATGTATGTATGTATATATGTATGTATGCACATATTATACATTCATGCATACAAATATGTTTATATAGAGTCGTGCGTTTATGCATAATACATATAAAATATTAAGTAATTGGTGATGGACATATGTATGTATGTATGTATGTATGTATGTATTTATGTATTTCCATTTGTATTTTGTGTTTCATTAAATGACGTTTGAACAAGTAGCAGATTTAAAACTAAAATTTATGTTTATGCATAGATACATAATTATTTACGAATTAAAATACATACATATGTACATATTTTTATTGCATACACATTTAAAGCATTCATGTAATAATTACAAAGAGTTCAATGAAATGATTCGTAAAATCTCGTCCTCTCTTTCATATAAAGTAGTTGAGCAGTTTTAAGAATTGCATGCATTGAGCAACAGAAACTCGGTGTTGAAGAGGCGAGAGGCATCTACGAAAAGAAAAGATGCTGAAAGGCGTGCGAAGTGTTTCGTAAACAGGTCGATTGAGGAAATGCCAGAAACAAGTTGCAGTCGGTCATACTAATGTAGGAACCAAATAAGTGATCTTGTAACCGTTCATTCACCCGTCTATGATAAGTTGGACTAGAATCTAAAAAAAGACACACTCTACCACCGTGAGAATGCGTTCCTTACCGTATTCTCAATATCGCATGTGATGTATTTTCTAGCATATAATATGAAATACTAAACCCCATTGTCAGTAAGCCGATGAGACCTTATCTTAATGAATGCAGTTATACACCAAATCTTGGAAGAAAGGTTGGAAAAGTATCGACACAAACAACCCATCACGGGCTTGATTTTTGGCCAGATCAGAGAATGCAAATCCACCGAGTGTATGAGATGAAGTAAAAATCGACTGGCCGTCCGGAACATTACTCAAAAAATTTCGAGTAACTACGCTTTATAACCGATAGATAACAATATGTGTTTTCTAACAGTCATTTAAAAGATCGAAGATTTATATAAAACTTGCTTTGCAACAATTTTTTCGATTGGATTTTTAGTAAGGATGACTGAAATACGAAAATAAATTTGAAATTCTTTTTCCGTGTAAGTTGACCATATCAAGTCAATATTATTGAAGGATTTATTCGATTCTGTTTAAATAAAAAGCAAGCAAGAGCTTAATTTGCCCTTTTAAGTGCTACTAATATTTCATTTTGTCCATCGTCGTCGCTTCCGGAAGTTTAACCTCATTGTGGCCGAGGCAGCAACTTTGCTTCGAATTTGCTACACGTATGCGGCTCCTTTGGTCGCCACTTATTTCTGGTAAACTATAGAAATATATTCTACTTCTATGCCATCCTCACTTCTAATTTCTCAACGGAAGCTGGATGGTGTTGAAAATTTTAAAACCAACATGTGGGCAGTTGAGCAATGGACGAGTATCGAGCGAATTTCGAGCTGCTCGCACTCCGTAGGTACTTTCATTTATTATAAAAGCATTGAGACAGACCCCATAAACTTGAGAAGTAGCCATACTGAAATTCCCTTCAGCGTCAAGTGATGATAATTTGTTGTATCGAACAATATTCTTTCTTTCGATATTATCATAATAAGCGTCTTCCCATAAAGTTTTGTACTTCTCATATGTCCGTTAGATGTAAAAGGACGGTCAACAAGTACTTCAAACAGCTTTTTGTTCAGACTTAACAAGTGTAGTTAAAAGAAAAGTTAAATCTAACGAAGGAACAGTCTGAAAAAATAATAAAGCTTCTTGATAAAGAAGCTTCAGGCAACTTCATAATAATTTTTATGACAAGTTTTTTTCAGAGCAATCCAAGGCATTACTAAGGCTGCGAATTCAAATGAATGTTTTGCTTAGGACTGTAGGGCAACTTCAAGCGAGCTGCAATGCAATTTTACTCAGCGCAGCTCTGCGTTGGAGGTATCGCCCAACAGGGTACGACCGGATATTGTCTTACGCACCAACTCCAGCGGAGTTGGATAACACCATCTTCACTTACTCTTACTCAAACTTTTCACCACCAGAATCCCGGACAGGGATGAATAAGAAAATATGTACAAATCATGTGGGTTAGAGTGACATAGTCATGTTGTCGTTGTTGTAACCGCAAAATTATTCCCCAAAGTACTTTTTGGGGAATGTTGCGGGAGTGACAGTCCTTGGCCGGATAAAAATCCGGCTAGTTCCGGTATAAAGAAGCGACTGTCGCATGCCTTACCGCGGGTAAATTCTTGAGGCCCTACACCGCAGGGGGTAGTGACATAGTCATCTTCGCGGATGGTTACAAACTCGGCTGTGGAAGTCACTCACTAACGCTCTCAATCCATTTTAATTTGATTCTACTAGATTACTGTAGCGTCTACAAATTCGATACACGAATACACTGCAGTTTTAGTAGCGGTGTCCTAGACAGGATCAACTCCGGTGTGTAGACATGCTGTCGTGAGAGTCGATAAACGAAAACACTCTCCCATTGGAAGAGAAAATTTGTTATTATGGACTTGTAACATGCACGTCTATATGTATGTACAGCTGTTGACAACTAATCAGAAACACTTTCTTCTTATAAGTGCTTTTTGGGCATAATAACAAAATATGCAAATTTACCGTTATATTTTCATAAAAACAACACTTTCATTCAACGGACATTCAACGTAAAATTTATGATTAATTCACTGCTCAAATATCTAAGAGAATAAGTGTTTGGTTTGGTGGAATTCTGACCTCATGGAAGAGCAGCACGCAAGAAACAGCTTCTAACCAAAATCCAAAGAAAACGACGTGCTCAAGCTCATTGGTCTTGGACCCAAAACCAGTGGAAGTATATCGTTCGGAGCCATAGGTCGGAGGTATGTTCAACGGCCTGTTAATCAAGAATTTAATTGTAGCGGAGCACCAGTCATGGTATTTGAATGTTTTTCCTGGAATGCTGTTTGTACACTCTATAGAATAAACGCAATTTCAAATCATGAGAAATAAGTCGACATACTGGAAATGTCATGTTGCCTTGAGCTGAGAAGAATTTGCCTGTTCCATAGAAATTTCAAAAGGGTAACGATGCCAAATCACGTCGCATAGTCGACGAAATTTTTTTTTTGACGAAAATCATCAATGTTTTAGAATGACCATCAACCAGTCCAGCCATGAACTCTCTGGGATGAAGTTAAAAGAATCGTTTGTGTTAAAAATATCGTAAAAATGGATGTCCTTTTTGAGGAAGTAAGAACAGCATCGCAAGCAATATCAGTGGCGCGCTGTCGATGGGAGGCAGTGTGAAGCACGAAATATTAATATCATTATTTTTTCTCATAAAATATTTTCGTTTCTTATTAGGTGTCGCACTCAATTGATAGAATTTACATGTTTTTGTAAAAAAAATATCTAAGAATGAATTATGAATAAATTGCTTAGAACATGATTTTAAGTTTTGTATATGTTTGATTAAAATTATAAAACAAATAATGAAAATGCGTACTTTAATGGGCAAAAAGATCATTCAATTTAAAAAAGTCGTTTCTAATTCTAATGTGTGTAACGATAATTACCTGTACCAATGACATTGAGTTCTTCATAATTCAAAGAGTCACTGTCTCCATAGTTCGGCGCCGAGGACATTATCCAATTTTCTTTCCGCATTAAAACAGTTTTAGTTGTATATTTGTAAGTTTTCGATATTTCTACACTCTTTTCAATTAACTTTTTACACTCATAATTTCACATACACAATAAGTTGTGACTTTTACCAAATATCTTTTGCCTTATTACTTTTTATTTTTTTCTGGACATACATACATAAATACATACGATGGCAAACAACTTATATACATTTGCATGCATGCATGTGTGTGTAAATGTTCGAGTAATGCAAAGTACACAAGGTCAAGCTCTAAATATTAGTGGAAGAGAATAAGACGAAAGAGTGAGGTGAGGAGTAGAACTTGACCACAGTAGTTAGTGGTTAACATGATCTGTAAACAGTGTAAACAGGAATAAGGGCACACCTTATTCGATTAGTGGTACGCCAATTATAATATACATAAGTACATATGTACGAAACATGATATTATTACAGCGAATGAGCTGGTACCTTGGCAAGGTCACGTTACGGAAAAGAGGAAAAAAACTGGCTATCTCTCAATTTCGCGGGTGAGGGGTTTCGAGAACTGAATAAGAAATCGAGACACATTTGCTGATTTCTCATTCGAAGAATAGCAAAATAGCGGAAGCCGATGATCAGTCGACGGGACGGAAGAGTTTGCATCAACCTCTTTTCAGAAGTATTCCTAACCATGTGGAATCTAAGGCATCCCGCTATGCTGAGAAGAGATTTGGCATTGTTACTTTTCTTTTCCTTTTCATGTCACACTTTTTTCACATTCTTGTACAAAATTTATGCGAGTTCGTGCATATATCACAGATTCTCTCTTTCCATACATTTTTAAAGCACTAAAGTCGCAAAAGTTAAAAGGCAGGTTGTTGTGAAAAGCAGGTTAACGTCAATGTCAGATCTAACAGAGCGACCAATACAAGATAAGCTCTCATGCATAATAAGAAGCATAACATATTAGAAAAACCGTAAAATAATTAGAGCCAGGAGCGGAACTTCATTTATGAATAACACGAATGCAAAATAAAACAAAACGAAATAAGCACTTGCCCAGCTGAAAATATAACACTTTCAGAACATTGCGATTGCGTGCTAAAATTTGCAATAACATCAAACAAGTCGGGCTTTGCGGAACTCTGCTGCGATTGTGGTGTATGGAGCAAATATAGACAAATATACTTGTGCAAATTTCGCTGCCGCAGCAATCACTGGTGGTGAAGCGTCAGCGCCGTCTTCACTAACCTATTCTTTCTTCGTTCCACAAACAGTAGCGTCTTGGTTCTTTACTGCCGTTTGTTGGCTGTTGGTTGTTGACTGTGACAGCGACAGCTCTGCAGGAGCAAATTGTTCAATTGCCGGCAGTACAATGACCCGATAACACACACATATATATGTATGTATACATTTAGGCATACATACATAAGCACATGCATACCTATGTATGTATGTATGTAGCTATATCGATTTATATACCTCTGAATATGTATAAGTCCATATATGTAAATTCATATTTGCATATTATATACAATAAACAGCTCAACACACGCGCACATAAGCATACATTTGCACATACATACATACATACATACATATGTATTAAATTTAGAGTGGCTGTCATATGTATGTGCACTAATAAAATTTCCAAGTGCACGCTTTATAATCAGCCAAAAGTTGCGTGGTAAACCTTATTGCCTGCCCAAGCATCTATCTAATAAGTAACGTACACATGCACATGTACATAATTATGTCTGAATGTTGTACCTACAAATAATAATTAAACGCAACTATTATCGGCGACCGGCGATTGTAGATGGATGGTTCGTTTTTTGTTTTGCTTCACGTGTTAGAGAAAGTGAATTGTTGTCACTTCGGACATACATATGTATGTACACGTACATATGAAGATGCACACGCTTGCGAGCAACTTGTTCATATTTAGAAAGATTTTTGCAAACTGTGTGACAACCGCCGGACGTAAACGCGACTTTAGTCTAACACAAACACTGCATAGGCCGATGAAACAATAGACGTAGTTGCGAAATATGGTCCCGACCGATAGGCAGCCTTTGTCGAAGGCAAAGACATAACAGATAGGCCAACAAGCAAAAGCTGTTTGGAATAGCGCAGCTGAAAACGATCAATTGAATAGACGTTAGGTATATAAGCGCATACAAACATTCGTGTGTTTGACTGACATACATACATACCTACAGAGGTATTGATATGTATACCTACGTTCATAAACACAATTGCCAAGAGTAGAAACGACAGAGCGTCGAAGAGAACAAAAGCCAATAGTGAACGAACATCGGTTGAGAGTTAAATTTTTGTCTTCATTTTGCTATTCTACATATTTGCACTTTAAAATTTTGTGTACTTTTTGCTCTGCTCAAATTCACCACATCCAGATAAAGATATGTGCACATGTGTTAACGTAAATACATATGCATATATATATATATATATACACTCAGCATGTATGCGAATACCCTAATTTACCTATTTCTACTGAGCGAAAATAACGATTAACAACAAAATGAGAAAATTGATAATTCAAAGTGACTCAATGAATACTGAGAAAGTAATAGGTTTTGATGATTAAATTTGTTAGTTGCGACACAGTGGCGACTAGAAGATGGCTTAAAAATCAGAATATCAGCTTTTTAAGCGATTTACTTTATTGGCACAACGCAATCTCAAGACACAATCACCCTAATATAAAACAACTATAGTAAACGGTGCTGCAAACAATACATATGTATGTATCTATCTATGACTATTTGCACATACTATATGTATGTATATAAACTGTATAAAACAAGACGATACTTCGTCCATGCCATAGCACAATTCATATACACTCTTACAAACACATGTATGTACGTATGTATGTATGTTTGTTTGTATGTATGTAGTATAGTATATGATAAAATCTTTCACATTTCCGTTATAATCTCGAGGAATTATTCTACCATCAAAAACTTAAAACTTCAGCGAGTTTATTCACTTTTAATTTTATTTTATTTACAACCGATTTACTATATATATTTATAATTTTAACGATCAATGAATTTATCACACACGAGAAGGTACTTGCACTGAAAAGATGACCGATGAACACGTTAAAAAAGACTCGAGCATAAAAATTGCACTCAGAAATGTATTAAAAAAAAAACCTCAAACCAACTCACTCATGTCAACACTTCGCTCAGATGCCACTGCATACAATTGTGTCATTCAAATGTATAAATTTGCCGATAGCGCTGTCAACTGGTCAACACTAAAAGAGTTGGTATACTTGGCACCGAAGAGTACAAAAACCTCTGAAGCGAGAGAATGCTTTTGGTGAGACGGAAGCATTTTCCCCATCTACTCTGCATATGTACACTGTGAGGGGAAGATTTTAACTGCAAATGAACTGTGAGTCCAGATCGATGTAGAAGTTGACCACAATTATCTACATGTGAACTTTTAGATGTATGTACATGGGGTAAACTGCTACCACTCTGTTGTTAGATCAAGTTTTCGGTTGGAGTTGGGTTTGGTTGATCGTTTATCACACAGATGTACACGCCAGTCATTAGAAACAACATTCCCTGCTCCACTTGTAGTCAAGACAACATCGAACATTTTCTTTGCCTAGCCGTCTGCAATGCGCTGTTAGATCATGTACAGAAAAGTTACCACTTAAATCACAAGCACCATAGAAACCTCACCACAGGCAAAGGCTAACTGCTACAAGAGTTGTGTCTTCTCTAAGTAAAAAAATAGAATTTATGTAACCACCGACAACAACCATTTACGCTTTCTGCTCACAAGATAATAAAAGAAATAATTTACGAATTTAGTGTCCAAGTGAACGTAAAGTTTACGATAAAAAAATATCAACTGCTATGTCCATGTTTTTAGAAAAAAATATCGGAGGAGCAAAATATTTGTTAGTTAAAACAGTGACCACTCCATGCTAAATTATTCAAATATTTATTATATTTTTAAACTGAAATTTATAAAAATTTCAAATTTTCTTCAATTAAAAAGTCATATCAGAGAATGTCATGCAGTTAACAGAATGTTAATGTAATATCAGAGAATGTTAAGTATTAATATTGTCTCTATCTTTATCGCAACAGTGAACGAGTCGAGAAGGTAATAAGTAATTTCTGTGTCAGTTCTGTAATGTATGAGAATTTCTGAGTTTGATGTTAGTGCTGGTTTGTGGATTTGCTAATTTTAAAATAGCAGAAGCTTTTTGTAAACTCGTTAATAATAAGTTCTCTGTCTACGCTAAGCTTTGACACACACCATTATAAGACTGACCGACAGCAAAGTCGCCAATCATCATGCGGCGAAACAAAATGCTATCAAATTAGAAAGCTCGGAGAACTTTTGCTTACTCATTATTATAAATTCTCTGCAGACTGTTCACTAAATTGGAATTGTTCACATTATTCTCATATGTACATACATACATATTCCCTATATGTACGTACATGTGTAAGAAAATTGAATTTATAAAACTTTTTAAATTCACTTTATTGCCGTCTTACATACAAAGAAACTGAGGCATATAAATACGTTTTTAGCGTAAAAATATAAGAATGAAGGGTAGTATTTGCTTCAGCCAGTTTAGCAAAAAGTTGTATGACTTCGTTCGTTGTAATAACTACAACACTAATTACAGACTTGGCTGTCTTGTCGTGTCCGAAGAGAATCATTTCTTCAGATTCCTCACTAGGTTGGATTATACATTTTTAAGTTGACAGATAAACTTACATATGATATCAGTTTGCAATAAAATAATTCGAAGCATTCTGAGAGAAATAGTATCGCCTTTATCATGACTATCTGGATGTCCAATTAAATTTCTGCATTCCTGTATTACATCAGAACGTAATTCGTCATTTAGGTTAGTGTCTTCAGAAATTGCGCAATACCTTCTTTGTTCATAGTTAAGCCAAGAAGATTCTTCCTGTAAATTAGCTTCATAAGCCGAATGGAATTTTGATAAATTGGTTGGGTTAACGACGTTATCAACCGTAGTTATCCCATAGTAGGATCCATAATCTGTTATAAAAATATCTTGGGATAGATGGCAAGATACATTATCTAGAAGTGGAATGGCCTTTTTATTAAGCATTTAAGATTTGGAAAATATATACACATCCCTGAAGCACAAATCGTGTTTAAAAATATCTTCGGCCATCCAGACATTCTTTGGGCTCCTATAATCCACGTAAATGACTGTGACTAAAGGAGCTAACTTTTGAGGTCCAGGTATATTGTGCATACCAAAACGTGGTCCAAGTTTTTCTCCTTTCCACCTAGGGAGGCTCAGAGCTGTACGTTTTGTTAGGTAGCAACTTCCCCTTATTCGTATGGGTTATAAATCAAATCTCCGCATAGTTGAAACTCGCTTATGATGTTGCTCAAACGGCGCTGAAATAAAGCAACGGCTCCTCTGTTAGATAATAGCTTTATCCGCATTCTTTTAAAAGTCGAGTGCCGAGGTGTGATTTAAATCTAGCCAATCATCTATAACTGGTGTTAAATTCTCCTCTTTCTTGGACATCTACATACTACTTTTGGCTTCCTAGCTACTTGTGCTTTTATGTATTACCTTTATTTTTTAGAATTCTAATTTTCACACTATAGAGCGGAATGACCTACTGCGGGAAAGTTCTTGAACCCCTACTCCCAGGCACCCCTCTCTATTGTTCATGCTACAGAGTAGCCAATATAAAAAACCGTTCACCCAAGCGGGTGCTCATGTTACCCTACATTCACGTCATCCCGAGTGCGCTGTACATACATACTAATATTTGTATTTTCCTTATTTTCTTTTCTGTTATTCATTTACAAATCCTCGCTATCGTTTAAAGCCGTTATGTTATTTTATGCGAAGTTTAACCAAAAAAATTTTTCTCTAATATTAAATATGGTAAATACATACTACGAGTATATCTACTTGTTTTAAATTTTTTTTTTGCCTCCAGAAGAATGCATTTGAATTAATCGGCCATTGAACTTATAATAGGTATTAGTTTAGTTATGCACATACTCGCATTATACAATATAAGTTCTGTGTTGGACTCCCTATCGAATTTTCTTCAGATGATATATTTTATTTATCCTCTAAGTATTCTTTAGCATCAAAAACAATCCAAGAAACCAAACTCAGAATAATAAAATTAACTTGCAAATATTAATTATTAATTATTGTCGATGACGACCAATTGTGACTTCGAATATTAAATGTTTTAATCACAACTGTATAAGAACAACAACCCGTGTTGTATTTTAAATTTAGACCAGAAGTCATTAACTTCGTCCAACTTAAGCATAGAACAATTATCAATTAACCTATGGCGTACATATGACTAGCGGTATATGGATGGCTAAAACTATTAAGCACACACGCTTCCTGGGGGGAATTACGTCATCAACCTGAAAATATGTATTTCTAAAATGGCGATAAAGGAAGTGGGCTTAAAAATATCGTTTATTCCTTCTGTTATAGCAACCAACAATTGTTTATGTATACATTTTTACATACAATATGTAGAATATTAATATTACAAAGGGATATCCAAATTCAATAATTTTGCTATTTTCATTCGCAACTTATACCTGAAAATGGATATAATCGAGTTTTTTGAACACGCAAATTGTCGAAATTTGAAAAATACAATAAAATCAAAGGTAAGATTCGTAGGAGAATCGAGTGTAACAGAACTAAATTAGAACAGATATTTCATGAATATTAATTCGTTCTAAAATTAATTCCAACTTACTTACATTCATAGGTTCATAGAAGATTACAAAGTATAAGCGAGGTACTCGACGAACGAAGATTGATGTTAGTATATATAATATATTATATATATGTATATATATTATGTATACATACATAAAAAAAAAATCAAAATTGGTATATTAATAACGATTGCAGGTTACGGTATCTATTAGAAGAAGGCAATTTAAAATACTCTAAGGAATTAGCATTGCTTGCGAGAGAGCGAATAGAGAAAGCAGCCAAGGATCGGGAGGAGTGGTTTGGAATTCACAGAATTAATCGGGAACGAGAGATTGAGAAATTTCTCAAGCTTAAACAACTACAGAGAGAAATGTAAATGCAATTATAGTAAAACATCTCCGAAAGCAAATTGAATTATGAAATTATGAAATTATGAAATTTAATTTGTTTAGGGAGAACTGCGAAACATGGAGACACATGCAAAGCAAGTCATTGCTCTTGAATACCAAACAAGCCCAGCTGTATCAGATCAAGGAGAAGGAGTCACTGCGTGAGAAGGACAAGGAAATTCAACAAATGTGGCATGATGTTAGTCAACGATATTATGAAGAAAAGGTATTGTTTGTCTCACAACGTTCTATAAAATAAAACTAACGATAGCCTTTAACTGTTTAGGCAAAACAGCATAACCTTGAAGTCAAACTATTGAAATCGATTTCAGGACTTAATCAAGCCGTAAATTTAAAAAATAGAGAATGTCAAGATCGAAGGAAGGAAATCGCGAGGGAAACGGCTAAAGCTGAGTTTGCCATGGAGTAAGTGAATATTGTAGTACATTTATACTATTACTTGTATTTGACACCAGAAAAAAAGCTTTTTATTATCGATTAGGTTTCGAATTCTGCACGCACAATTTGTTTTCATACCGTAATTAGTCATTTTGGCGTGCAATTTGGAGTTACTTAATTGAATAGTTTCCGGTAACGGTTTATTGAAACCCAATAGGAATCGGAGCGAAAGGTTCTGGTAACACTTCAACTAAGCTCCTCCTTAAATTTGTGGTTTTGCGGGTTGATGTTTTTCCAGCAAATGGAGGGATCTGCAGTTTATACTCAGCCGCCTCCGAAAGGCTGATGGTTTTTCTTAAGAGGATTCTTTATTTCTTGTCCGAAATACACTCGGTGGGGTGGTTATTCCCTGTCGAGGAGCGGCCGCGATCAGAAAATTTAACTTTTGGATGTTACTGGCACCAGGATTTGAACCCGAGCCTTCCGTATGTTAGTACGCAATGCTAACCACTCGGCTACCGCGGCCGCCAACCAATACCAATTTAAATAAAACTCGACCAAATTTACAAATATCTAGGTATGTTTATTAACTATTGAATTTGACCAAGTAAAGTCACGTTACCAAATTTGATGTTTTGTCAAAAATTCTTTGACGACGAACGAACTAGCTTTCTAGGAATTTGAATTGCTTCCATAGACAAATACTATTATATACATACATATTTTAAAAGTGTTATACTATGTAGAGTAACTGATCGAATTGAGCGACATGAGAGTAACTTGACTTGAACAATACAAATACATATATTTGAATGAGAGCGAATGTGGTTTAGCAGAGAAAGTAAATACAATGAGAAGGTCTAGGGCGTGCCGATTGTCATTTTGCTCCGCTTCGCAGTCGACGCCAGATTTCTATGGATGCATTTCACTCCAGATTTCGATGAGCCCTGTTCACCACAAACGGCACAGAATTGTGCTCAAAATAGTTGTATTTACGTTCTCTGTCTCTGGTATGTGAGAAACAGAAAGGAAATATGATACGTAGAGCAGAGTTAGGGCATTCACCAACTTTGGTAGTAGGATTGCAATCCGCTTTCTCGGCTTAACGCAAACAGTTTGTTAGTACTAAAGTTATACTATTCAAAAGATAATGTACATAGTTACATATTCTACAAAATGTAATTTTATTTTTATTTGAGTGACGCACACACTGCTCTTTTGGATGAATTCTATCTCGCGAGGAAGGAAGCAACTGATATGAATAAAAAATTAAAACAACAACACATGTTAATGGTAAGATATATGATAATTTATTCAAATAATGTATGTATACACATATGTACGTATGTGAGGCAAATGTGCATTTTCCATTTCTTTAAACATAAGATTTTCCTTTAATGTGATATGTCTTTAAATACATATGTATATATGTACATACTATCAAATGTATTTTTAGGAACAGATTAAAGAAAATGAGAACAACCGTGCAATCAATAAAAAACGCGAGCTTGAAAATGATCTTGATTGTGAAAATCGCAACTTATGTGACATTCTGAGTAACGAATGGAATAAGGAGAAGCAGAAGGTTTGTTAGCATTCCATATATGTATATAATATTACATAACTCAAATGAATGATTTAGATAATAATAATTTGGCATAATAAATTTCTCAGATTCATGATTCAGTATGGCAGGAGCATTATATGCACCATATTGGGGAAGAGCGGCAAAGAAAACAAAAGGAAATCAAAGAGTTCGAGTCAATATTCTCAAATACAGGATGTGTACTCCAACAGACGTGTAAAACACCTTATAATAAGTTTGCTCGTTAAGAAAATTCTCCCCGAAGAGTGTTGTGTGTATAAGAAGTGGGGGTGATGATTTTACATAAGCAACTGTAACAGCTTTATTCTTCTTTCATTGCATTTCTACTATGATTCTTTTTTAATCAACAAAACATAAGATTTTTAACATAAATTAGATCTAAGCTGAAAAAACACCTTCTAACAATAAACTAATGACTAAATTAAATTCTGTGTAAAACTGTATCCTGTGGAATCTTCGATCCCCGCCACCAAAGAACGTATATTGCCTTCACCTTCTAATGTGTTTGATATCTTAAATTTAATGTTCGCGTCCACGCTAAGATTTCTCGATTTGGTTGAGTCTTTGCGCCATCTGTAGACATTATACAAAATAAGAATGAAGATTTAAGAATAAGGTCTGAGACAAAAACCCATAACGAGCTGACCAAAAGGTAGGAAGTACTAGCCGAGACACTCACCGCTTATCGAAAAAACTCGTCTGAGAATGCCTAACAAATAGAGAACGTATGTTATTATTACCAGCGTAGACATCGCTTACGAGATTATCGGGCCTATTCAATTAAATTTTGTTACTTTTTTTAACATCCAAACAAACTTCTTAACAAGCACCTTTTTGTACTTTTTTCTTAATCTGTAATGTATTCTAGACGAAAAATATGCCTACCTATTTTGGTTTTTATTTTTTTTTTTCAAACTAACAACACAAAATCAAAGAGTAAAACTTTTGTTACCTCTTAATTCGCTGGTAACAAAATTTACAGAATGGTAAATTTCAACCAAGTAAAGACACGTTCGGCTGAGCTCCTCCTCCAATTTTTGGTTTGGAGCCATTTGTGGTACTTGTGGTGCTACACGCTTGTAATCGTATCAAATTCTCAGCATCAGTGTAGCCAGCGACAGCGGTACTGCTTTCGAAGCTGCTGATGAAAAGCGGGCATTCGTCCGGATCTACGTTAAACATTGGGAGCTGTTTGGGAATGGCTTGTCTCGCAGCCAAGTGCGCCGGTGAGATGTTATTACCCACAGAAAAAAATGAATTGCTTGGAAGTAGCTCATCGTACTCCGAAAGGATTTTGTATTTATTTTCCAAGTATTGTTGCTGTATTCGCATTTCTTTCTCCAATCGTTCCAACTGTAGCTTTCGGTACACTTCCTGGTTACGCGGCCTATGCGCTACCTTGTTCATCAAGTGCTTTTGAGCTAAGAGTCATGGTTTTCCCGGAGGATGTAGCAACATTATCAGGAATTGCGTTGGCGATAAAATTGCCGTGGGTGTTGAATAACGCCCTGTTGCCATCGTGGGTAATTGACGGTTTTGCGTTAGAGAAAACGTTACCGTTGGCTCGGAAACCCAGCATGCAGGTGCCATCTTTGGTTGTGATGATTTAGCGGCGGTGGCAGATCGCGAAAACGTAATTTGCACTGGCATACTTGTGTTTATAGTAGCTGTGGTGGATGTGGGAAAATGTGTTTGCTGGTTACCTTGTTTTGTGGCTGGTGACGAGGATGCTGTCGGTTGCGCGTCTGGCGTTGACTCGATGTGATTACAAGTCTCGCAGCACCAGCTTATATCAGCCACATTGCTGTCCACTCCGACGCACTTGAAGCCGTACCAGACGTCGCAAGTATCACACTGGACCATTTCATCGTTGTCTATGTCTCCGCACCTAGGACAGCTACGATCAGCGTTTTTATTGCTCGTATAGAACATTTGTGCGAGTAAGTCGATTCCATTTCTAAAGTTGATTTGAAGAATGTTGTGACTTATATCGATGAAAAGGAATACGAGTAATGAAGCGATAACTAGGAATACTTTTGCATGTGCATATCGAGGACATAGCGAACAGGGCTGACCTTAATAGGGTGATCCGATTTTAGTAGAAGAAAAGGAGGTGTGTGACGATCATCTTTTCAGGGATAATATCCAAGACTCGGCGCATGGTAGTTGGCCCAGACTGTGTATTTTTGTGGACTGGGCAGGTCAAACTCCAATCGTTAGGCATGCTTTCTTCTGCAAAAAAGCTCCTGCATGCAGCCTGTCAGTTATTAATTTGAATTTATGTATATTACTTTAATTATTATTTTAAATCACTAATTTAATTTAATTATGTTTAACTGCAAGAATTATGGTGTGAAATATGTACATTCTGAACAATGAGTTATGACGTTATCTTCTTTTTTATTGGTGTTCATAGCCAAAACAATTCCTCCGCCTTTTCACTATTTGGCGACAGTGGGAAATACCAAGTGAAACCAGGTCACTCTCCACCTGATACTTTCAGCGAAGTGAATGTCTTCCTCTTCCTCTTCTTCCTCTTCCTCTTCTTCCACTACTTTCAAGGCTTTCATCCATTCGGACGACATGACCTAGCCAGCGTAGCTCGTACAGCACATTCAACATCATTTCATCGTCTGCGGTATTCGCCTTGGTCAATGCACAAATCGCTCGCAAAACTTTTGTCTCGACGACACCCAAAGCATGCTCATCTGATGTTGACATCGTCCACTCTTCTGCGCCTTATAGTAGGACGGGTATGATGAGCGACTTGTAGAGTTTGGTCTTCGTTCGTCGAGTATAGAACTAATAACAACGTAGTTTTTTATCTTCTCTGTTACTGTGCTAATCCCGAGTGCGTAGTGAGCTCCAAAGTTTAATACCGAACCTACAAGATGGCTTTTGAGCATATTGAAAAGTAACACTTTGATTTCTAAGCTTAGCTTGGACTCTATAATCTAATGCAACTTCGTAATTTTCAATTTAGTTAGGGGAACATTTTTATCCATGGTGAGTCTTATATCCAATGCAATTCCTAGGTATTTAACGATTTTTTCTTGTGGTATTGTATTACCATTTACAGCGATGGAAGGACATGTGTCTAGGGTAAATGTTAGTTGTTATACTTGGACTCATTGACTTTAATCGTCCAAGTAGTTAGCCATTCTTGGCTGTAATGGGTCGTCCCCAACACATCCGCAAAAGTTGACCCCTTACACCCTTAGCTTGTCTATGTATCCAAGATTTATCAAATATCTGAGCATCATCAAGGAACACTGCAGTGCAACATTGCTTGTTTTCCAACGCTAATCTTATGTGAGTAACGATTTCATGCTCTATTGTACTGTGCCTTTGTCTAAACCCGAGTTGGTGGCATGGTATGATCTGCTTCGATTCTAAAATCGGTTGTATTTTTTCAATAAAAGTCCTTGTCGCTTCGATCCCACGCACCAATGGGCTTTTAAAAATTCGAACTAAACGCCACAAGGAAGGACCGTTCAAATCTCATCTATGGGAGTTAGATGGGATTGTGGTAATGTTGTAAAACCATCAACTGCATTGTCGACATCTGTTATTGATTTAACAGCCGCGTGCGATTTTAGATGCGCTTTTGGCGGCCGCGGTAGCCAAGTGGGTAGCATTGCGTACTGCCATTCAGAAGGTTCGCGTTCATACCTCAGTGCGACCAACATCGAAAAGTTATAGAAAGTTAATTTAAATAAAGAACTAAGTTGTATTTTATAATTGCGGTCGCCCCTCGGCAGGGAATGTCAACCTCTCTGACGGTATTTCTGACTTGAAATAAAGTTCCTCATAAAAAAACCATCAGGCGTTCGGAGGCGGCTTCATTTGTTGGAAAAACATCAAGACACAAAACCACAAATTTTAGGAGGAGCTCGGTCGAAAATCATTTCAACCGTTACAAAGCCCCAATTATATACAGTTACTCACAAAAATGAGTATACACATGTTTTCGTAAGAGAAATACACAAACTATGCAAAATTTAGTGAATGTATTTGAATTTTTTTGATGCAAATTTGAAGCTTGAACTATTATCAACTATATTTGAAGCTAAATTAATTAATTTATTTAGTATTAAGAAAAACTTAAGCAAAAAACTAAAATTATTGACAAATCCAGGTCACAAAATTGAGTATACACTCACATTTTAAAATCTGGATATCTTTTTGTCCGTTAAATGATCACGTTAGCACTGAACTAGATTTCAAAGATTTTGTTGCGTGTTAGCCTTAGATACGCAATATATTGTTTTTTTGTGCATTTCTTTCACCGTGGCTGGTACCAGAAAGGAGACAACTATTGAAATAGGAGAATTAGTGATAAAATGGTCCTGTGAAGGTAAATCGTACAGACAAATTGGTGAAATTATTGGCAGACCTCATTGCACAGTTCAAAAAATTATAAATAAATGGAGATATGGACGAACATTACTAAATTCCGGTGGGAGAGGACGAAAAAAAATTTTGACTGATGTTGATTGTTGACCCAAAGATAAGTGTTCCTAATTTAACGGTCGAAGTGTCAAAATCAATAAATAAACCCATATCAACTGAAACAGTTCGTCGTATTCGTCGCACCTAAAATGCCATTAATCTCTAGTGTAAATAAAAAAAAACAGCTTGAGTTCGCGAAAGCTCATGTTGATAAGTTTCTGGGAAAGTGTGATGTTCACTGATGAAACAAAGATTAACATTTGGGGATCTAATGGATGCCAAATAGTATGGAGAAAGCCAAAGACGGAGCTACGGAATAAAAATTGAGTTGGGACAGTGAAACATGATGGTGATTCAGTTATGCTTTGGGGTTCTATGGGAGCTAATGGAGTGGGCACCATTCAATTTCTGGAAAGCAACATGACCAAGGACATTTATTTGACTATATTGAAGTCTAATTTACGTGCAAGCATGGAAAAAATAAAGCTTCCGTCAGCGTTTTGGTTCCGGCAAGACAACGATCCAAAACATACAGCGATGATAGTGAAAAAATGGTTACTTTATAACGCTCCAAAACAGCTTAAGACTCCTCCAAAATCCCCCGATATGAACCCCATAGAACATTTATGGGGAGAACTGAAATCCAAGCTGAAAAAATCTAGTCCCCATACCAAAGAAGAACTTAGAAAGGAAAATATCAGAACAAAAAAAATAGTAGACTCGATGCTTCGGAGGATGCAAGCTGTAATAGATGCAGCTGGTGGACCCACAACCTATTAAATAAAAAAAAATAAAAAATAGGTGAATTAAATTGTTATTTTCCATAAAGTGTATACTCAATTTTGTGACCTGAATTTATCAATAATTTTACTTTTTTGTTTAAGTTTTTCTTAATGCTAAATAAATTAATTAATTTCTAGTTTATAGTCGATAAAAGTTCAAGCTTAAGCTGTGTAAATCTTAACAAATTACGCAAGCACATGCCAAGGCGCAGTAAGACCTGGTTTTTACCAAGTTCTTGACAGCTATGATACTGAGCCGGACCCGCATGCTTATGTGGTTCCTCTTCGGAAGTATGACAGTGAAGAAGGTATCAAAATTGATAAATGCGATGAACTTCTCTCTTTTTAAGAAATACGAATCTAACTTAATGTCAATCCAAACTTTGGCTTCATATTTCTAACCCCTTCTACGTACATCCGATAGGCTTCGACGAAAGTTACAAAAAATTTATTTAAATAAAAAAATCAAGTTAAATCTTCTAATTGCGGTCGCCCCTCGGCAGGCATTGTCGACTCCTCCGAGTGTATTTTGGATATGAAAAAGGCTCCTCATAACAATCCATCGCCCGTTCGGACACGGCCTAGTATAAACTGTAGGTCCCTCTATTTATTGGAAAAAATCAAGATGCAAAACCACAATTTGGAGTAGGAACACGGCCGAAAATCGATTCAGCGCTATGCCAATCTGTTTTGAGAAAGTACAGAACAGTAACAAGTAACCTTTATCCGTTGGAAGAAGCTTCGGCATAACTGACAACTGAAGAAAACTATACAGAGAGAACAATACAATTCAGGAAGATTTTGTAATTTTTGATGCACCCGTTCCAGAACATATTTAAACGGTATTTCATGCCATGTATTTTTTTGTCGTAAGTTCTTTTTAGCTTTCTTCATCGGTAAAAAGGACATTTTTCAGTGAAAATACTTGTTTCATACAATTACACATCTCATAGAATATAAAATTTTGCTTTAAAATTATTGCAAAAGACTTTTACGTGATCGACAAATTGTCGTTGCAGTAACAATACAAAAGTAATTTAAATTTTCTTTCTATGTGACGTTTATGAACTTGATTTTTACAATGTTACAATGTTATGTAAAATTTAATATTAACTTGTTTCTGACTTGTGGTGTCCAACGCATGACGAGTATCCAGTATGCAGAAAAAGGTAAGCAATTTTTTCGCTTCCACTGTAACCGCACACATGCAACAAACTTTTACAATCTATGAACATGTTGCGGCGATTGGCTCGAAGAGAGAAGCTCCCGATTTCTAAATTCTCCGCTTAGCTACATGCTTCAGCAACACATTGGCATCATTTGCCGTTGATACATGTGGTACCAACCCCAGAATTAGATCATGACTCCAAGAAGACCAATCTAATGTCTTGAATTGGAATTTTGTGATGGTAAAATATCAGTTGCTATCATGTGTTGTTGCGAATCGGTTCGTTAAAATTTTGTCGGTTCTTTTTCGGTGTTCTGTTGCAAAAGAGTTTAGGAAATAGAACTATGATTTGACAAGTTAACAACTGATCTGTTAAAAAAATTGTTTAATATATACATATGTATCTCTATGTGTACATATACTCGTACTTACGACGGCTCATACCGAAACATTCTTTAGAATTACATTTGTATAGCGCCAATCTTCGGTTGAGCCAAAAAGGCGTTCCATATCCTGTGCTATCAATTACAGCCTTCAAAAAATAAATAAAAATAAAAACATACATATCGTCTTATATACACACGATAAGTTTATGAACCAATAACAGTATTGAAACGAGCTATTGACCAGCGAAGGCAGCCTTGCATGTCCATGCATTCATAAATACAAACATATCAAAGATAAATATTTTTTCGTGCATTTACAAACTATTTTGATTTCCAAAGGTGCAAAAAGCCGTCTGCTTAAAATGTTTAGTTTTAGTTAAGAAATACAAACACATACATATCTCACCTCAAATTATTGCCTTGTGAATTCATAAAGTTTATTGATGTGGCTGCACGACTTTCGTGTAAACATTCAATTATATTTTGAGAAGCGGTGCATTATTGTGGAGTTTTTTTTTAAATAATTATTTTAATTTGTTTAGAATTTACAGATCGTAGATACTTTTTAATGAAATCTGTTAATTCGAGCAATGAACAGGTTTCCCGATTGACTTAAGCACATACTTACATGCCTCCTTACATAAGGATTTGCGAAATAACATTAATTGAAAGAAAATGGGCAGTTTACGTCCCACAAGCATTTCTGACGCAGCATTGTTGCAAAGGCTGGACAGTCTAAGCAGCAACAGTGAGCCATCCTCACCGACGTACCAGGCGGATGTGATTTTGAATACAGATGCTCATGCCCCGAAACTATCAGTAATAACTACGCCTACGAAACCACCGTCGCTTAGAGTCAATAATACTGATTGTAAAAATAATAAGGACAACAAGTCATTCAGCGGTTTTCCGAATGGTGGCATTGGAACGTTAAGCGAAACTATAAAAGAAGCTGAAATAAATACTCGTAGTCATATTGGAGGACACAAAATCTGTTGCCGTGTAGTTTCGGATCTTATTCTTCTTATATGCGGTATGTGCCTCAATCGTTGTTTTATTGTGGTTTCCACTTAATACAGTAAAACGTTATTTTGCGCTTGTAATTCGATTACTTAAATGGTGCAATCATTAGCTAATTAGTTTAAAAAATTTTACATATATTAAAATTATATAATATAAATTTTTATTATAATAAAAATATAATTATTTTTTTTTTATCTGACATAACTCCGGTTTTTCGAATAAATCTGCTTTCCACGAGAAATCGCAGAGCCATTACATATGTATGCACGTTCATTTAAATGTTCATACTATACATGTATTTTATATATGTAGTATGTACATGCATACGTAAATATGTATGTATGAGTTCTTTATTGAAGAGACAGATTTTTAAATTTCAGATTCAATTCAATTCTGTTCCATTAAAACAATGACCGAGGGGTTACTGATTTATTTTAACTGGCACAAATATGTATGTATTAAAAGTATTCATGTACTCGTACATATTGTATATACGAGAGTATGTGTCCATAGTGTGTTAGTTACTGGACGATTAACTTTGCTTTAAACTTCATGCACAATTATTTTTCATTCTACTACTTATGTATATATGTCGAAAGTTTTGAAGCCAATTAAGGATCTTAGGCCTAATCTATCGTAGTAACAAAATTTGCTTTGGTATTAAAATTTACCATTGAGTTCACTGTCACCCTGTAAATTTTGTTACCCTGCTGTTTGATTTCGTGTTGTTAGTTTGAGAAAAAATAAAAACCAAAATAGGTAGGCATATTTTACATATATTGTAGAATACATTGAAGATGAAGGAAAAAAGTGCAAAAAGGTGCTTGTTAAGAAGTTTACGAGAAAAGAATAACCCTTTTAATTAGGAAAATAGCGTTTTCATTCAGTTTTTTTATTTGACGTCCTCTCTTATTTTCCATAATTACATTTAAATATTTATGCTTCAATAAACAAATAAATAAAGCTTGTTTATTTTGTTGCGCTCCGTCTGCCATTTCCATGAGAATATTCTTTACCAAATGGCAAATGTAATTTGTATCCAAAAAGCAGTGCCAAATGCCAAATTCAATTAAGGGTGTTAAAAAAGTAACAAAATGTACTTTACCGCTAACAATGCCAGTAAATCGACTAAGAATGGCAATTTTCATAAATATTATTTAGCTTTTTTATGATGAGTAAAAAGTTAGCTTTGCAAAATAAATCGTATTGCTCTAGTGAGCGGGGCATTGAGTACTGGTTTCGGAAGGCTTGGGTCAAATCCCAGTACTACCAACATCCAAAAATTTATTGGAAATTAATTTAAGTAAAAATTAAGTAAATAAAGCTTCTCATAAAATACCATCAGCCGTTCGGAGGCGGATTAGTATAAACTATAGGTCTCTCCTTTAAAAGTGAACGTCGTTTTGGTTTATTCCCAACGCCCGTCTTCGTACAGCTCGTTGTGTATGTATGCGCAACTACATTTTCGGAGGGAGTAAATTCTCATCATTCTAAATAAGAATATATCCCTAAAGGCGGGAAATAGTACATCAGCTCGGCCTTCAAGAAGGGGGAATGGAACCGCACCGCCTCTAATTACGTGCCCTAATTTACAATAGTAGAGGGAGGAGCTCATCACCCTTATATACATACCCGAGTATCCGGGAGCCCACAGTGATATGTTTTTAGAAAATAATGCGATGCAATATGAAAAAAAAAATGTTGAGCTCTCGGATCTTCGTTATATAGCTCAAAAGCAAGCAAATCATGTATTTAATATTTTTATTTTATATAATTTTTTTGGCTCAAACTTGAATCTTCGAAGTATTCGCATCCGGGTGCTCTCAATTGTATATACACAAAATACATTTGAGGTTAATTTTGTTCAGGGATGGAGATTGATTTTATTTTTAAAACAGGAACATACGTGTAAGTATAGGATCACGTTACTTTCTTTCTTCCTGTTTTATCCTTTTCAACCGACCGTACACTTGACACTTCAAGGCCTATGATTCATTGCATAGAAATTTTTATTAGATAATTACGTATGACTTGAAAATTCGTCATAAGGTCTTCGATCGAAAATAATACAGTTGTTCATCCATTGTTACATTTTCTGTAGGCTTGTCATGTTAAATAAATTTCTACAACGTTTTCTCTTCTAATACTCATTCAAATACTTAATCCGAATGTATATTTAAAAAAAATCCAGAAACACGGGCGATGGTTTTTTATGAGGAGCTTTTATTTAATTTTCTATACTTCTGGATGTTGGTCGAACTGGGACTCGAAACCTGGTTTTCGGCTAATGTGGCTACAAAACACATACCTACTGGAACTTAATATCATAAATATAGGAAAAATATTGAAAGTAAAACTTGGGGAAAGATCTATGAATTGTCAATTGTTTATCGCATTGGAAATTCACAAACAGGTGTCGTTGAAGTTTCCCTTTCAGCTGGAACGATGACTGAATTTTTCTAGGTATTCTCAGAGATGGCTCAATAAATAACTTATTGAAAGATTTTCAAAACATATTTTGCTATTGTAGCTTTGTACCAGTCCACTCACGTCAAATCACGCGGATTCGATTCACAAATGCTTATGTGGATATGAATGGCGGATCATGAATTATGTGATTTCAATCTGAATCCATGGGAAAATTTGTGAATGTGAAAATATCGAAAATCATTTAGTGTCAAATATGTTTTGATTGAAACATATTGGTTTATAGAAAATAATGTAGCAATAATACAAAAATCAAATTTTCACGGATAAAGTTGTTTCAATTTCGTGGGTTGTCGAAACCTTAATTTTAGCCATAAAACGGCTTAAGATTTTGACTATGAAATTCTAAAGGCTTGCATTGTATTTCTTTGAAATCAGTAAAATTTCAATTAAAACGTACACAAATTTCTATAGCTTCTAATATTTGCTGTCACATAAATCGAATGGTATGAGTAAATAATGTGATAAAACATTCCAAAAAAAAATTATATGTAATAAAATATTTTTTATCTGCTAAAGTGCTTTGATATGGTTAGTCTTGGTTAGTCTTGTGAAAAATGTTAAAAAAAAATCGAAGCGGTGAAAAGGTGTGCATTGGGTTATTGTAACCAAAGAAGGAAGGAAAATGGTGCTAGTGATTTATATTAACAATTTGTAGAAATTTAAAAAAATGCGAGATTCTAGAACACGGAGTCATCTTTTTGGCTCGAAACCTTGAAGTTTTGGTAGTAAGTGTTTTTAGTTTACGTTTCGGAAAATTCTTCCCATTTTTACGTTGTTAGGTTCCAATATATGTATATCCTTTAAACAAAAAAAAATTCTTTGACAAAGTCTTGCTGTAATTGGGAGTAAATCTACCTTCGGCTTAAAACATTACCTGCTGTTTCAAGAATAATTTTTGTATGAACATTAGCCATGTAACAACTATTAAGTGCGCTAATTACCTAGCAAATGCTTAACATTTCTAAAGCCCGTTTAACGGATGGATGAATCAAACCTCAAAGTTATGTTGCTTTCGTGGGAAATTAGATGTGTTATTTTGATACTCAAATAAACTTTTCCCTTAAAAGATTTGTTACATTGTCCAGGTCAATATTATCTAATTCCAGCCATAAAAATCACTAATCATCTCTCGATAGTCCAATCCATTCATTTTCGAAAAAGTAAGGTTCAATGACCACGCCGGACCATAACCCGCACCAAACAGATACACATTGAGGATGGCGAAGCTTTTCAACTTGGGTTTTCCTCGCCACAGACTCGACAGTTTTGCTTATTGGCCATCGAGGTGGAAATGGGCCTCGCCTCATCAGTCAAGATAATTTTTAGTTGAAATTTATGTATTGACTTTTAATAATTTAAATTCGTTGTTGAAACGTGTTTTTACTTGTCAAATGTCAAAAGGTTACAGCTTCAAAGCATACATCTATATGTATGTATATATGTACAGAGTATTCAAATAATAGGTAAATGTCACATACATATATATGTACATTTATATGTATGTAGATATTCCAAAAATTTAAACTAAATATTTTCTCTTTCTTATTGTATAATTTGATACTGTCGACGCTGACACATTAGAAAAACTTTGTTTTTGAGTTGATACTATTTGGAAAATTCAATTACTGCAGGTTCTAATTTGTCAGCGTCGATTGAATGCATTTAAATATATATACATATCTATATGTATTTTTTTAGTTGGACTACCAGTATTGGCGTTTCGACTTTGGGGCGCTTCTAAGAAACGTGGATTTTTCTGTGGCGATAAATCTTTAAAGCACCCATTTGTTAAGAACACCGTTAGTAATTGGATGCTGTTTTTTATGTGCTTAATTGTTCCAATATCAATCGTAAGTAAATATATATACATATATAAATATATATTTACATATAAAATGAACAACACTAAACCCTTTTTTTACTAAAATAAGAAACGAAACGAACTGTCTCTCAAACAAAAAGTTGGAAAAATAAATAAATCAAGTTATAAGATGTATACATTTCAGACTTTTATGAGATTTTCAGCCGAGCTTCATATGAACCTACACAGTTTCAATATCCGGATTACGCTAAGATCAAAGTACGAAGCATTTTGGCAGCTGACGCGGTCAGAGGCCTAGATTATCTAGTGGATAGCTTTATAAAATTCCAGAAATTCAAAAATTTAAAAAAAAATTGGGACAAACTATTAACGGGCATTAAACCAATGTAGTAACCGAAGTATAGAAACTTCTGTCGAGGTAAAATCATTCGAGAGTCACAATTTAAGATCGCTCTATAGGTGCCGAGGATATACATGAAGTCAATTTCAAATCGGAGATTGGTCAAATTTTTTGAATTGTTTTGCTTTTTTTAATTTCGATTGAATTACGAACTTTGCTTTTGCGAATTACGATGATAGGGTCTATATCCTTCACTCGTATACTTATGTACATATCTAATTATATAATCGTATACGATTTTTTGCTTTCAGATCATAACAGTTGAGTTTTTCGTCTCCCACTACAACATAACTCACGGCCTGAGTAAGGTGAATCATATCCGATATTATATTGGGCGTTTAAAAATAGCTGATTGGATTGTGGAGAGTTACAAAAAAATTGGACTTTTGGTATTCGGCTCTGGAGTGGGTCAGCTGATAATGGACATAGCCAAGTATTCAATTGGACGATTACGCCCACATTTCTTTGCTGTAAGTAAGAGCGCTGCTCTAAATAATCTTTTGTCTGTGTTTTTCAAAAACTTAAGTCCAATCAATATCAATTCTTGGCACTTAAATATGTCTTTTGCTACCGATTTCTCAAAATCGATTGGTTTCGACTTTATTGCTAGGTATGTCAACCAGTTATGGCGGATGGTAGCACTTGTGACGACACTTTCAATGCTGGACGTTATATAGAAGATTTCATTTGCATTGGAAAGGCCTCCCCACGCATGTTTAAACAAATGAGTCTTTCTTTCCCCAGTGCTCATGCAAGTTTTGCCACATTCACTATGATCTACATGGCGGTAAAGTGCTCTTAAATTTATAAATTTCAAAATATATATTTTTATAGCCCAGTAACTGTCTCTTTTATACCTGTTAACCAATAGATATATTTACAAAAACGCATGACTTGGGAGCGTTGCAAAATGGTTAAGCATTTTATTCAATTTACACTTCTCATGTTCGCTTGGTTCACGGGATTAACTCGCATATCCGATTACCAACATCATACAACCGATGTACTTGCCGGATCAGCGATCGGAGCTTTGTACGCTATTGTGTTAGTAAGTTTCTGGAAAAAGTTTGAGCTTTTGGCTTTTGACTTTTTAACGTAAACAAAGAATATTTTACTGATTCCAGACACAAACAATGTGGTGAACATCAGACTCCTTGATGAAATAATTACAACACGTATTATCATATGTACAAACATTTGTTAACCTAACGCATATATTTTTTTGTAATACCATTTTCTTATTATTGAAATAAATTAATAACATCCAGTTATTGGTTATCGGTAAGTGTCTAAAGCAGATTAATTAATTTTTGGCTTGATGTCGATGGAGTTCATAATTGAGGACACATCCTTTTATCACCTGTGAATTGCTGCTCGTATGTATGTATATAGGTTCTTTTCAACTTCCTCCCTCTCTTTTAAAAGTTGATGTGTGTTTCCATGATGCCGTTTCCAAAGCCTGGAGCCGTTCTTAATGCGCAAAAATTTACTTTACTGTTACTGGCAGCTTAATTGATGTAGAACGGCCCAGCTGAATCATCTATAACTGAGTGTGTATGTATTCGGTAATCAAAACTTTACAATATATTAATTACAGTCAAGAGAAAAATTAGCCAGTAAAACCTTCAGGTTAGGGAAATTTTTTAAGTAAGATTTGAAATTTTACTCGGTTCGCTTACCCGTTTGCTATACATTCTATTATATGAGGTATTTACAGTTCCATAGTTGGCGAAATCACCATCCACACGTTAGTCCCAAATGTATTGTATTTTTCGGTGGCTTTAATGAGCTGAGGAAAGAATTGTAACATTCAATACACGTATGTATATATAGATGTAGGTTGAAATCCTAGTTTTTTTTTTTGAATTAATAATATTATGGTGCCACCTAATGGTTGTATATTTATACGGAAATCTCCATCGGGCTCCTTAAAGTATTTATGTATTATAGTGTAATTTTTTTGGTCCGAAATAATATTTTTCAAACATGTTGCTGATTGCAACCCTCTTCATAAATAATTTGAATATTCTCTATGCCAATATTTAAAATCAAGCAATTCAAATTGGTGCAAATCCTTTTCCGTAATTCTCTTTCTTAAACATATTCAGCTTTCTACCCATATTGTTTAAATTTAAAAAAACTGACATGCCTCAAAAAATGTTTCACCAAAAAAATTCATAATTCTCTTTAATTTGGTACCCTCAGTATAATAATTGCTTTTTATTTCATTAAAAATTTCAAACTGCTGGCAACTCTTCCCAACAGTTTTCCATCATATCTCTTTACAACGATATTAATACAACAAATTACCTGTTAAATGATTAATACGTCTTACCAATTCTTTCAAATTGAAATTTTAAACAGGTAGCAACGCTGCTAAACTACTTCCCTTATTGGACCCTTCTTTAATCTCTTCATCAATACCGTAATAAATCATTAATTTTAGCACTTTTTTCAAATCTCAATTTCAAATTTCTGTCGAATTGTAAATCTGAACGATTCGTGAGCTCACTTTAACACACACACAAAAATCGTTATAATCTGCTTTGTACTTTAGCATTAGTCTTTGGTCATAGGCTCACTAATACAAGATTTTGATATTATATTTAAACAATTTCTAAACATGTGGCAACTCTGCACACATGCAGTTTTAGAAAAATCGGTCGAAGTGTTTTGAAGAAATTTTTGTACAGTAAAAGAAGGCAATCATCCTTTTCCATAATTTTAATTTTATGGCCAAGAATCTAGTTTCGGGAATTGATTGTTTCGTTGGCTGTATGGCAAAGATCGTCTACATCAACAATCTGCAATTCAGGCACGAAAAGCACGAAATGCATTTAATGTTGAAAAAAGAATGATGGACTCATTCGTGCCTTCTACGATTCGAAATGTGATCTTCGGTGTGTACAGTACGAGTCTATTAGGACATTATTCACTAGTGTAAGCGTGGTGCGAAATCCATACCGACTCAGCTAGACGAATGAGAGCAAGTCTGTTCATCATGGAATGGCAAACCAAACTGATTATAAATTAAGTAAAGCTGTCAAGATGACACGCTCCAAAAAATTATTACCACAAATGGAAAACTTCTCATAAGCCGTGCATGATAGCCGAAATAAGCTTTATAAATTTTGGGATGGCGGCCGTGATATCCCAGTGGTTAGCATTGCGTACTGCCATTTGGAAGGCCACGATTAAAGTCCTGGTATGACCAATATCCAAAAGTTATAGAAAATTAATTTAAATAAAAATTAAGTTCAATTTTCTAATTGCCGTCGCCCCTCGGAAGGGAATATCTACCCCTCCGACTGTATTTCTGACATCAAAAAAGGCTTCTCATAAAAAACCCATCAGCCGTACGGAGTCTGCTTAGTATAAACTGTAGGTCCCTCCATTTGTTGGAAAAACATCAAGATGCAAAACAAAAGAATTGGAGAAGTAGCCTGGCCGAAAATCGCTTCAGCGGTTACAAAGCGGTAATTATATATATATTATATATATACATATATGTATATGTATTATTGGCGCTTTTGCAACAGCTGAAGCGGCTTTCGGCCGGGCTACATCTTGATGTTTTTCCAAGATTTTATTCCATGTCAAAAATACACTCGGAGGGTTTGGTATTTCCTGCCGAGGGGCGAGCGGACTTGAACTCTTGCTTTGCGAAAGGTAGTACGTTCTACTAATCATTCAGCTACACATGTATATAATATATATAAAGGTCAAGAGCATTACAGTTATATACATAAAAATTCAAATGCAAAGAAATAATCTCTCTCTTTTTGTGGCCCTGAACAGTGTAAACGTTTCGTGAAGGATATGATTCGTTGTGGGCATACAGGGTATTAATATGAGGTAAACATTATTTTCGAGTACTGCATTCCCATTTTTTTTTGTTGTTTCTAAAAAAAAAACCGAAGTTAACGTGAAATCCGCCCCAAACTGCTAATTAATTGGAATGAAAACGAATTACCTTCATAGTCGATTTAAAAGAAAACACCAATCGTTGGACGATAAGTGATGTATGAAAAAGACAGTGAAGAAAGTGATGGAGACAGTTTACGTGGATTTGGACGCCTGCTCAAAACGAAAGGAAATATGCGTCTATATATTTAATTACTTATCTTGATGTTCTTTACTATAAAATGGAAAGTTCAAACAAAGCAGGGGGGGGGGGTACAGAAAGATTAATCGAGAGCTTGTGGAAAACAAAAGGATTGAAGTTCGTTAATAAAAGTTTAAAAATGTTGAAAAAATTTGGATATGAACTCAAACACTTTCATTAGGAGCCAATGTCTTATAAGCGTTATTCTACAAAGTATAGAGCAGGTAAGATTTTCACATAATAATAATCTGTCAAATAAGAGTTAGAGTGTGATCCAGACAAACGCTTTTGATACGGTTAAGAGTCTGCCAAAAATGGTCAATATTCTGTAAAAACATATAAAATGTACTTTCCGAAAACTAAAAACTATTTCAAAGTTAACATAATCCATATTATTCAACAATCATTGCTATCTACTAATATATAACATCTGAGTTACTGGAGATTGTTTTTGAATCTACTCTCAAAGCATTGCTTTAGGGACTATCGACCAATCTATGTATGTAGAGCTACATATTACAGAGGATAAAGACTCCAAAGTAGTACAAACGACAAAACATATTTTGTTGTATAACACAATATTCAACTAATACAAACAAACCAGTTACCTTAATACTCATAACAATAAGTAATAGTATGGCCGCAAAAACATTATGCCTAATACCGATAATGTGGGTAAAATTGGACGATAGACTTTCATAAACTTCATGTTTCATTTTGACTATTTCAAAAGATTTGATACAAATTGAGGATCTTTCGTTAACTCTAAATCGACTAAAAATTACAATTTTTTTTTTTTAAATGTTATTTAGTTTTTTTTTATTGAATGGAAAACAAAAATTCAGTAAGCGGACAGCCATTTAACAGTGAACTGAATAATTGTTTGAATTTCTTAAAAATATATAAATAATTTCATTTTACTACTATATGTTTCAACACAAAAGTAATATTGTATATGATGAGCTTCGATTATTGCTAGGGTTCGTTCGCCCTTCACAAAAATTCCAATTACATTTATTATGTTTAAAGCTCGTATTAAGAAGATCGATATTTCCCGCTAAATGCCATAGTGGGCCAAATTTGAAATTTTTCCTTTAAAATATCGTACCATCCTACCTTTTCAGTGTTCATTATTTTTTTTAATAATATTTTTAGTTATTTGTATACGTACGGATAGAAAATAAATGATTTTTAAACAAAATATGTACTCCAAATCAGTTATTCATTAATTATCGTTAAACCTGAATAATAACTTATAATTCCTCATTTAAAAACCCCCCTCCCATTAACGAAAAATAACGTTTCTTACACTCAATACTGAAAAATTTCCTCATATCATTCGCAATAAATAAAATCAAATTGCAATATACTTATGTATATATACATACATATATACATATATTGCAAACTCTCTGGCTCTCTGATTATGAACTGATTTCAAACATGTTGCGCGTGAGTCTTGCAACAAAACAGCGAACAAAGCAACATGTTTCGCAGCCAAAAGAAATAAAGTAGTAATTGGTCTTGGGCTCTCTCAGCATTGATTTGAAGGGTGTGTTTCAGTTGTTGATGTATATTCGCTCGCTTCGTTCGTACAATTTGCGTTGAATTGTATATCGGTTATAACGTACGTTTGTATACGCCGTTTTTGTGTTGTGCGCCCTGTTTTTTTGAAAGCGACTAACTATAATATATAAAATAATATAAATATTAAAAATTACATTAAACTTTAATTTAATTAAGCGTACAAGAAAATAATTGAAAAAAGTGTAGGTAGGAATTGAGTGTGGGAATGATAACAGGGGCAACGGTGTCTCGTTATCTAAACACATATGGATGAATAACAAGCTTTAATCATTTGCTTGTCATCGTTGTCGCTATCGATAGGTATAAATATAAAATATTTTATAGGAAATAGTGGATATATGAACAAACCTGCAATAAGTAACAAAATTAGACTTCATGAAGAAGGAACACTATTTTTTTTGAACATCGGTGTGTACATACATACATACCAGCGACAGTTGTTTGTTCAAGCCCATTTGTGCATGGCTTGTAAAATTGCTGTCAATAACCTGTGCTGCCTGTGCTGCGGAAAGAAAAGCTACTGCTCAATTGTAAACATCAACGCCAAAAATAGCTGATTTGGTTTTGGAAAAGAAGACGAAATAAAATAAACACCAACATTTACATACATACATACATACATATGCACATCTTTGTTTGTCTATTTACGCTGGTATAACAATATTCAGAGAGAGGCGTCTTTTGCGGTGATAGCAAATAGTATTTATAAATATTTATGTGATGTTTGTATGGAAATCTGTTCTAAATCGATATAAGAGTAAAGTTTATCCAATCGGCTGGAAACAGCGTGAAGGTCAACTGTAGGCTTTCGTTCATACATAACCCTGTAAGAAGGGCTGATTACTTCAAAATAAGTGACTTTCATTTTATTTCGACTCATAGAAACATAAGTTTAATATTTTATGTTATTAATGCTAGGTATGTATGTATATCTACCGTATGTACATGTGTATAGGACTATCTTTTTCGTGGTTTCAAAGGTACTAGGCTGTATTTTGCCAACCGTTAAACTTAATCGTCAAACCGAAAATGTTTTGTTTTAATTAAAAGTCAGAAAAAGAAAATGGATCGCTTAACAACCTCACAATAAAACCGATAAAATTGTTAAAAGCTACTACGAAAATTGTGATACAAGCGCTTTAAGCGGAGACTAATAATCGTCCTGCAGTAGTTGGTATGATTTTAAAGAAATAGAAAAAATTGTCGCAATTGGGACTCCGAGATTACTCAAATAATTAAACAGAAGCCATTACACCCAAAAAAAAAATATTTACTGTCTGGTGCACTATTCGGTCCGGAGGTGTGATCAGACCTTACTTCTTTGAAAACGACAACGGTGAGACTGTCACAGTCAATTCGGTGCGTTGAGATCGTATGATGATCGAATTTGTTGGCCTCCAATTGAAGAAACCGCTTGGATAATAGGCAGTTTCATTGAGATTGTGTCATATGCTACACAACACGAACGAATATTGTTTTATTGCGAGAGAAATTTCTTGGCCGCGGAATCTCGACTTTGCCACCAAGATCGTACGATTAGAAACCGTATTTATGCGAATGAGCCTTTAACTCTTGAGCACTTGAAAACCAAAATTCGTTAAATTATGGCTGGGATACCGCCCAATACGTGCCAAAAAGTGGTAAAAATTACCTCAAACCCATCAAAGTTTGCAAAAGTCATCGAGGCGGTCATTTGAATGATGTAGAATTTCACATACAATGCTAAGATTCATACTTAATACAATAATAGAAAAGCATTATTTTAAATTAATTTTCGAAACCGCAACCGATTATGAAATTTATTTCAGAATGGCTCTGTTCGGTGAGATTAATAAAAAAAAAATAGCCAATTATGAAATTGGAAAAATAAGATATCTATTTTGGTAGTTACATCTGAGTCCGTTCATTTAAACAGCTTATTTTTATTTCCTTTAAATATTTGAATGAAATAAGCAATTTTTAGGCTTTTTAATTTTTAATTGTATTAAAAATGATAATTCAACAGTAATGTTATTCTACATGTTTCATAGCCGTCGAACCATTAGATACCAACAATTATGTATATTCTTTTTGATATTCCTCTGTAAAGTGGAAAGTTTATGTAAAACTTATTTTACAACAATTAGATTTTCAAGAATGATATTTGAAATTTTGAAAATAGGTTCTTCCGCTCCAAAGAAAATGTCAGCATATTTTAGTAGCTTTCTATTCTCAGTGACAATTGGGAGGAATTGTTATTTCCCATTAGCCGAGCACCCTAATGGTTAGAGGAATTTTTTTTACCGTTATGTATAGAAATACCAAATGCAATTGTTACACACCTACATTTGTATAAATAACACCAGCGCAATTGATTAGAGGGTGCAGCTGAAATGGTAATCACATGAACTGTTTAAGATATTTGGGTTTTACCCAAAATTACAACTAAATTTCAAGTAAAAGCGAATCAGTTTGTTGTAAATTTAGCTTTATATATGGAGGCAATGTCAACCCTCCAAGTGTATTTGTGACGTGAAATAAAAGCTCCTTATAAAAAACCATCAGCCGTTCCATCCATTTGTTTGAAAAACGTCAAAACGCACAACCACAAATTGGAGGAGGAGCTCGGCCGAAAATCTCTTCAGCGGTTCCAAAACGACAATTATAAATTAAGTATTAACTAGAATATAGAATTTATTACATAAATACCTACATTCCTCGATCTCTTTGAGTTATTTTTTTTGGATACAGGGCTATTAATTTGAAATCTCGGTTCACTACTTGACCTTTTTTACTTATAAAAATTCGTTCTTTAATCAAAAAACGGTACTCCCACAACATTTTTTACTTCTAAGTTTTAAGTTTAAATTCTTCATCCCTTAATGTTGAAAATTTATTTTTATTTAATGTGTCTTAAAAAATGGAAAATCTCTCAAGAAAGAATTAAACTGTTCATAACTACGCTAACTTTGTCCTAGTCCTAGTTTATTCGAGCGATGCGTTGCAAATTGTTTTACCGCAACTGATCTATTTTGTCCTCACAGCGCATGTGACTCTAAATTTTTATCACATCTGTATTAGAAATATTTTTTCTTACTCTGCGATGGATAAGCCGGAAAAACACAAGGTTGCCCATTTTTTGTCACTCGTTTATGGAATTTATTATTCTTTAATTTCAATCGATATTAATTTTTTTTAGCACTGGGAACAGCTTTATAGATAATTTCAAAACCGTAGCTTACCTCATTTAACCGTAAAGAGCTTTATCGTTGAAACATATTTATATTCATATATTATATTAATAAGAGTCTTCTTAACAATTTCATTACTCTTTTGAACAGAAAAATGCTTAAGATAAATCAATATTGCGTGTGAAAACTGCTACATATAACGTCACCTTAATTGTGAAGCGTCAAAAAATTCTAAAAAAAAAGATTTGGCCTGACGGCTCTAATAGACATTTGATTTCCTCAATAAATAATATTGACAATTTTATTTCTAATTGCAGATTATAGCTGAGACATCCATTCGTGCATTTGAAGAGTGTTTTCCGCGAGCGCAACGGAATACTTACTTATGTATTAAAATATATAACCTAGAGTAAGAGCATAGATCTTACCTTGGTGACATTTTGTTCTTCTGATACTCAAATATTTAGTAAATACTTGTGTAAAAGTGCAAACATATGTACATAATAATAATAAAAAAAAGACATCGTAGTGAATTAACAGAATATGGCATGAAGTAAAGAGCAAAGTCAGTCGCGATAAACAATAAGCTCGCGTATATTAATGTATAAAAAGGGAAAAAAAAGAAAAAGCATGTTCACTTGAGAGTATAGAGAGCTCAACATATTTTAGTGCGCTTAAATTTTACGATTTGCGGGGAGTGAGCTTTTTTTGACTTATTCTCCCGTCGCAGACTTTTCACGGCGAACGCGACTGTAGCTTTGGATACCCGAGAGTGCTTTTAAAGTACAACACAACTGGCAGAAAAATGAGTAACGAATCAACTTCTTGTGAGGTAACATTGCTTTGTCGACCGGAAAGACAAAACACTGCGGACGTGTCGTCGTCCCCGTTGTTGTTGGTAAAGTCGAGTGACGTGGAAAAACGTTATCAAAATCCAAATCACAACTGCAACAATATTAACGACAGCAATTGCAACTGCAACAACAGCAATAATATCAACGCTACTGTTTCGACAGCAGCTACAGTGGCAATCGCAAATTTAAACAACAACAACGTTAAAGTGCGTCTAAGTGCTGGTTATACGGGGGAACACGTTTCGGAAACAATCAGAATGGATCACAACAAACGCGTCCTACTACGTGTGGCTTTGGATGTGTTCATTTTACTCTGCGGTAAGTCTGTCATAATCGAATTTGCCACCAACAGTTGGTGAAAAATCAGTTTGACCTTACGTAAATGACGGTGAATCCAAATATGATCATTCAATTTTAAATTGTACAAAATATTTAAGTACGTACATATGTATGTATTTGCATTTACATATGTACTTATGTACATTATAGTAGTGTGTGTATGTGTAAAATTGTGCAGTTTAATCGCAGCGCTGCAAACAACCTGTTAAAGTAAGACAAACAATTATACATATCAACATTTATTTGTATGTACATATGTATTTACAAAGCAGAGTCAGTTACTTGAAAGAGTGTGTTTATGACTCAAACTGTCTAAATATAGACGAGCATAGATGCAATCCGCTGTATATATGTAAGTTACGTACATAGTATGTATGTAGGTAATAAATATGTAATGTGCCGGTTACTTTGAAATTGCGAAAAACTGGTAGATGAGTTATACGACGGGAAGTGCATTATTTTCAACATAATAACGAGTGAATGTGCATACATACGAACAAATATAATAAATATATGGAATCGAATATCTGAAAAGTGTAAGAATACCCAGCAAACAATGTCTCAGCATTTAGGAAATATTTATTGCTCATATCAATATCGATGAGTATCCAAACGATCTAATGCATATATGTACATTTATGTAAGTGATAGAGGGCAGTGCTTATAAAAAGCATCTTATTTTCATTATACAATATTTGTTTATAAATTTCCATGCTAAAACTGCTCCTGTTTCTCTTATAACGCAAAGTGCCACTGAACACTGATGCCTATCCGTAAGACCACGATTAAAACGTTCAATGTCTGCCTTCAATAAGAACGTTATTAAGTGGATTATTGATATTTTACTACTTTTCAAAGTTAAAGTTATTCAGCGTTAGCATTTCGTGGAGATCGATAAAGTACATCTTGAAAATATTTATATATTTATTATTCTCATTTATCAGTTATTGAACTTACCTTATTGCAATCACATGCTATGTATGTATGTATATTATATTTTCCTGTATTAACTGTAAAAGTTTAAATGGCAACTTTTGAAAGCATTAGTCATTCCTTACAAAGAACCTATTGTCGTCAATAAAAAAAAATTCAAACTTTCCTTCTTGTGTATGGATATGCATATGTATGTGTTCGTTATTCATACTCAAAACTGGTTTCTCTGTTATTTATCTCTGTTAAAAGTCCTAACAAGGTAAAAATATCTATGTATATGTATGTATATATACTTACTTTATACACGTACTCGTATGTATGAATATTTGTATCATACATATTTACATTATAGATACTTACAAACATACATAATACATACATATGTACGTAAGCATTGTATGCGGCTAATTAGAGTAGCTTTTCCAGTTTCAGCGCTTGCAAGTAAAATGTTGAGTCAAAATTAATTTCGTGTTTGTTTCTCGATAAAAATTTCGCATTTGAAATGCTTCCCTGAACGTTTAAAAACTGTCACGACTTTCACATGAGACGCATAGAAAACATTACTCGCCTTTACTTAAAACTGCAGTAATAAGCATTTACATACATATATATGTATATATATTTATATAGTAAATAGTTCTTCACGATTTACATGAATGAATTTGATTAAACTCTATGAAATAATGAAAAAAATTATTGGGGATTTCATGAGAAACTTTAGATAGTAAATCAAAATTTCTAAACGATTTTTTTCTTATGAAATTCCCAATTAGGCCGGTAACCGTTGCCATTGAGAGCAAAGCGGTTGTTTAGAAATCGTTGTGGACATAACAAAGTAGACGACAAAAAGTTTAGAAACGAACCAGCAACACTGACAAAAATGTTAAAACCAATGCAAATAATTAAAAATACTGCGCAATAATTGTGTAAAAATTTTGAAAAGTGAAAAATTTATATGCAGAATAATTGATGCGAATCCAAACAAAACTGGAAAGCAAATGATAAAAATGTGTGTACGTACGCACATGTATGAATGTATTTATGTAGTACATATGTATGTATGTACATTGTTATCCATTTTGCGGTTTCGAAAGCAAACGTAAATAAAATAAAATAATTTTTCCATGAAATTCATTTTTATTATAAAGTTTGGCCCCTAGCATTATATGTATATAGCAATTAGGTCTTCATGATTTATATAAATGAATTTGTTAAAACAAAAATAAAGTTCGATATTTTGTTTTTGTTCTATCAAAATTTTCACACGATGATTTCACAGGAAGCTCCCAACAAGGCCAGTCAAAGTTTTATTTCAGATCAAAAGCTTTTTGGAGCATATTGGACGGTATCTCGGCCATAACTTGAAGAATGGTGGCTTTCAGTTGCTCAAGACTTAAAGCTTTATCCGTATAACACGGAATTCTGCGTAGGCACGATCTCGGTGACCAATTGCTATCTCCAAGACGAGAAATTCGAAAGATCGCCGTACTCTGCTTGCTGTTCAAGTACTCAACGTGCCTATGTACGGCGTTGTGAATGGTCAGCTGGCTTCAGTTGTTGTGTGTGCCGGACTTTATATGGATGTAAATATGTATAAGTCCAAGTTCAAAAAGGCCATAAAACGCCGTTGGAAAGTCCCAGTTCTTAAGAACGTCGAGACTTACACTTACAGTAGCGATATTTGAGGTGGAATGAGCAAACCGACGATTCACAGATCTTAAAATAGCTGTATCCGATCCAGTTCAAAATTCTTTGAAATCATACCATAATCTCCGCTTAAAGTACCAAAGAAGCCATGTTTGAATCACCATTTTTCCAGTAGGTTTCAACATATGAAGGCTTTTTGCGGTTGTGAAGAGATCCATTCTCATAAATGACTGAATTTTAACTAACAGAAAACAAGTTTAATTTGATAGTTATCAAAATACAGTTCTATACCCTTGGAGCTACGAAATGGCTAACCCTATTTTATATTTGGCTAGCAATATATTTATGTATACTCTTATTTATGTACGTGTATATGTATTTGAGAACAGCAAATTTTGGATTATATATTTCACCTGTACCAAATCGGTATTGCGTGTATATGTACATCTATATTTATTTATAAAGAGATTAATTAGTTAGAGATAATTAAATTTAACGAAACTCTCTGCCAACTAAAAACGTAATTTGTTTTTGCACAGGGTGATTCGATTCAGCTAAACGCTTGATATGAATATTTACATACTTAAGTACATACGTGCATATCCATATCAAACTTCATGGAATGCGAAGGAAGCTGAATTTCATAAGTCCAAATTTCTGCCTGTGTTCCAAATACCTTATAACAGATCGTACACTCATGCCTTGGTGCAGAAGCTCATTTGTAACCGATGGATTTCAAACTCACATTCTAATCAAATTTAAAAATTTTGAAAAAATGAAAGCGTACTATAGTATAAAGAATAAGGTTTGTTGATGATCTAACTAGAATAAAAGGTTAAAAAGCTTTGGATCCACACGTATAAATACGCATGCGGTCGGCCTCTGCAGGTCATGTTTAACCTGTGTGGGTAGTCTTTGGGTAGGGAATAGAGAGCATGGGTAGAGAAGGGTAGAGGATATGAAAAAAATGCTAGTAAAGGCAAATTTTCTTATTTTTATTTTCTTTCTTATTGCTTTCTCGCTCTTAATTCAGCATTGCGAAAACCTCGCTACGTTTCACTTTTTGCTAGATAAATGAACGTATTCAACAACATTGATTTAGAAAATCACTTCACGGTAGACAAGAACAAAAAACTTCTTCCACAGAACAGAACAGATGACCCTGAAGTCGGTAGAATTCATGGTATGACCATTTCATCTTTTCGTAAAAAATCAGGAATTTTGTTCAAATTATTCGCTGCGAAAACAGTTTTCTGTCGCTCAGTAGCTTTTCTTTGTCCAAGTCCTGCTTATGAAATCAGAAACAATTCTCCTTGGGTGTTTTGAATTGAATGCTTTTAGCTGAATTTGGATCGAGGCTTTCCGGAATTTTTCGGCGAAGCAGCATTTGAGGCTTGTCAAGAATCTCTCTTTCTTTTCATAAAATTCGATGGCGTAGACATTGTTCACTACCTCCCCGCATCGAAAATTTCAATCATCACAGTCAGACGAAAAACTCATCCAAAAGCAAAAGTCATAGAACCCCGAAGTGTTTGCAGAGACGGTGCATCGATTTCATTATCCAGAGAACGATTATAATCTTCAAGGATTTTATGCGTACAACCGATCTGCAAAATGAATACTACATTTGAATAAGCCTCAAACGTATTTGAATGACCTCCAATTTTGAATTTAACCTTCCACTACCAAAGCAGAAGAATGGCCATGTACGCTAAATTCCCTTGAGGCGCTGAAATGCGTGGTATTTGTATTCAGCAGTCGAAATTTTCTGGCTGGTCACTATGCCCAATAAGTTTTAACATATTTTTTTGAATGAAAAAACTAAATATTTCCCTGGTGAAAACTTCGAGAATTCAATATTTTCATTATGTGCACCGCCGGTCAAATAATTACTCAAGTTTAGCTCGGGTTATTTATAAAAATGTTATTATCATGAAGTGGATACTCGTGCGGTTTTTTGTGACAATTCTTTTATTTTTGTATAAATACTTTGGTAACTGAAGAATAAGACTATATTAAATTTTACAAAGAATTTGTGGATATTTTTAAAATTCATTATTCGGTATGCGATTAACCAAAATGGGAAATTCAATGAAATTAAAAAAAAAATAACTTGGGTTTTGTGGGTTTTGATGATAATGATGATGATGATGATGATGATGATTTTACTCGCGAATATTTATGAACATACATATAACTGTGGAGTTGTAATAACAATGCAAGAACAAGCATACAATTTTAAGCGAATTATAAAATATATTTTAGGGAGTATTTATTGCAAAAAAAAAAAACATTATTTATTCTTTTGAACAGGTGCGAATATACATACATATATACATGCCACGTAACAATGAAAATACAAAAAAATCAATAGTTGAAGTTTATCAATTACATTCACC